CCTACTCCCGTAGTGATACTGCCTCGGAAACCCAAGGAGGGGTCGCTATGAGTCGGGGCCGACTCGATGGCAAATAACAACAACAACAACAACATTAGGGAGATACATTGAGTGAGACAAGCATGTTTACAATAGCAACAAAAAGGTAAATTTTGGGGGAATACATAAGAAATGTTTAAAACTTGTATTTAAAAATATCTATTAAAATGCTAAAACAAAATCCCTTATTCTTGGTTAAGGTGTCTCAATATCATCAAGATGCTAGCTCTCCCCAAATTAATTGGAAAAGTCCAGAAATAAACTCAACCTCATATAAAAATCCAGGATATGATAAAGGAAGTACTTCACATTATGGTGGCAAAGCTAGTCTTTTACGTAATTTATGCTGGGACAACTAGATAGTCGGTTGCAAGAAGTTAAATTCCACAAGAATAAATATACAAAAGAATAAACTCCAAATGGATCAGTGATCTGAACATAAAAATAAAACTATACTAACAAAAATAAAACTATACTAACAAAAAAACCTCAGAAGGAAGGTTGGGCAATCCTACTCCTGTAGTGATACTGCCTCGGAAACCCAAGGAGGGGTTGCTATGAGTCAGGGCCGACTCGATGGCACATAACAACAACAACAACAACAACAAACCAAACCAAACTCTCTGCCATCTAGTCGACTCAGACTCATAGCGAGCCCCCATTGGGTTTCTGAGGCAGTAAATCTTTACAGAAGTAGATTGCTCCATCTTCCTTCTGCAAAGCAACTAGTGGGTTTGAATCGTCAACCCTCTGGTTAGCAGTCAAATGCCTTAGGCACTATCCCACCAGATACTCCTAAAACTATACTAGTACTAGAAAAAAGGAGCTCTGGTAGCATAGTGGCTAAGGCACTTGACTGCTAACCAGAAGGCTGGAGGTTCAAACCCACCAGCCACTCCTCGGAAGGAAGGTTGGGCAATCCTACTTCCGTAGTGATACTGCCTCGGAAACCCAAGGAGGGGTCGCTATGAGTCAGGGCTGACTCGACGGCACATAACAACAACAACAACAACAACTAGAAAAAAACATGGGCCAATTTCTCTTTAGCCTTGGTACAGGGAAAGTCTAATTATAACTCAAAACTTAGGTAATAAAAGCAAAAATTGATCAATTTAACTATACCCTACCCACAATTCTGACTCACAGTTACCCTACAGAACTGGTTAGCACTATAGGATTTCCTAAGCTGTAAATCTTTACAGAAGCTGACTGCTCCATCTTTCTTCAGTGGAGCTACTGGTGGGTTTGAACTGCTGACCCTTTAGTTAGCAGTCAAGCACTTTAACTATGGTACCACCAAACCCACTGTCATCTAGTCGAATCCAACACATAGCAACACCCAAAGGGTTTCCAAGGCTGTAAACCTTCACGGAAGTACATTGCCTTATCTTTCTCCCATGGAATGGCTGGTGAGTTTGAACTGCCGCCCTGGTTAGCAGCCAAATGGCTTACCCACTGTACCAACCAGGGTTCCTTAAATTTACCTACACTACATAAAAACTTTTTTAATTTAAAATGACAAAAAAAAAAAAACAGCATAGGCCAAGGTCAAAAGACAAACTATAAATTGGGGAAAATATTCATAAGATATACTACAAATTTATAAAGAACTCATAAAAGTTTGTGGAAAAAAAAACAAAGAGGAAAATGGGGATGAAATGCAGGAATACAGCAGGGCATGACACTTCTCTGAATATACCACAGTCGGTTATAGGTATGTATCTACTTACAAAAGACTCAGAAAGGCTATCCAGATGTACACATGACTGACAGAGGTCAATATAAAATATGTTTTCATATTTATAATTCTGGGTAATTCTTCAAGTTTACTTTTATAATTGTTTTACTACAGACCAGCTTTGATTTTTTTCTTCCGTCTTTGGTTTGCTTTTACCACTGCCAGCATTACACTGACATATTCTCTTATACTATATACACACACACACCCAAAATAAAAACTGATACTGATGCAGAATCAGGAAAAAGCTAAAAGAGGGCAAAGAAGAGCAAAATCACTTAAAAGTTCAGGGCTACAACACAGCAGCCAATCACCTGAATAAAGTCAGTTTTTCTAACTTTCATAAACTCAACTTTACATAAATTTACATTGATATTATGTAAATTAATCTAATTATACTCCAACATTCTTTCTGTAGATAAGAGGAAGGCAGTATTAGTCTTATTTTTTCCCAAAGGAAAATTAGGACTGAACAAATAATTGTGTTATAGTCCACCAATTAACTTCTACTATATTTGTC